ACACACACACACACACACACACTCACACTCAATCAATCAATTAATTAATCAGTCAATCAATCAATCAATCAATCAATCAATCAATCAATCAATCAATCAATCAATCAAATCAGATCAATCAATCAATCAATCAATCAATCAATTTATCAATCAAACCGATTTTTTTTGTTTATTTGTTTTTAAATTTTGCATTTGCATTTTTTGAAAACACCTCATTTCCCTGCAAAAAACAGAAATTCATTTCTAAAAAAAATACAGGTCAACTTAGGGACCATATATCTCATGATAAAAAATGAAAAAAAAAAAATCCTCCTTTTCTTTATATATATTTTTTATAATTTTGTTTAAATCCAATTTGCTTCTTGATTTCTTAAAAATCCTAAACAAAGTTGGATTCCAAAAAAAAAAAAAAAAGGAGTGTAGGGTTTTCCAAGCCCTACATAGGGGTCTAAAAAATATATTAAAAAAACAGGCCGCGGATTGGGCCTAATCGGCCGCGGCCGCGACCGAGATTCTCGGTCGCAGCGACCCAAATGCCCGCGGCCTAGTAGGCCGCAGGTGTCACATAGCCCTTTGCAAAAGAATACAGGTACTTAGGCCTAGAACGCACACATCTTTATGCACCTTCATATGAGTGATATACAAGCCCTGATGCTAATAGTAATTAACCAGATGGGACAGGGGTATCAGCCCTGRAATGAACTGCGAAGGAGAACTATCTCCCTCGTGTGTGTGTTGAGATGTGTGTGTAAATACACACATGTATATGATATCCTTAACATGATACATTGCGTTCATCATCCATGCAATCACTATCAGACTCGTACGCAGGTAACCACAACAAAGGGTGGAGAGTTTGAATACCTCGGCGGCCAGGCACAAAACTTCTTCGGAAATTCCGATGTCACTAATTAGAACCTTTGTAAGCACACAAGATTTCAGAGGAACAACATATAAGGTGAGCGAAGAAGGGGGCAAACAAAGAAAATACCGAAGAAAAAGGAAAGAAAAAAAAAAAAAAAAAAAGGAATAGACAAGAAAAGAGAGAGGGTAAATGAGAATTTAATTCGAACGTGGGTAGAAAAATATGACCGAGTCTTCATGCAACTATTCCTTTGAGCAAGTTATACATAGTCAAAACGATAAGGCATTCATAGATTATTATGCCATCTTATGAAGAAGCGAAGGGACCTGCCTAATTGCATCATCATTATTCACAACGATCCTTAGAACGCAAACTTAAGAAAGGCAACACAAGAATTTTGCAACGAGCATATACTTATGCTTCTCAGCGCTACCTCTTCACCAAGGAACTGACTCAGCAGAATCCGCCACCCCACATTTATTTAAACTAGCCCCGTATGTATGTTAGAAAAAGATCGCCAAATCTACTACACACTGACACCGGGTCTTCATAACCTCTGATCTTCACCACCAGCAACCAGCCCGGATAGCACAATCAATCAATCAATCAATCAATCAATCAATCAATCAATCAATCAATCAATCAACCAGTCAATCAATCAATCAATAAAAAAAAAAAAAA